ATATGTTGGTGTTACAATAAAGAATCCTCGAGTCGCCAATCGGTGTTTTGGTTTTTTCGTCCGTTACTATTAGGCGTTTCTGAGAAACTTCAAGGGACAGCGTGAGCCCGAGCATAGCAAGAGCTGGGCATTAACGGTTTACGAGACGTGGCTGACAGTTTCTGACGATGGAAACAGATTCTGGCGGATTCAGACAGTCGGTGACAGTTTGGATGGTCACCGTTCATCTTTCCTGGTTCCGGTCAAGTCCTCTTTGAACAAGGAATATCAGGAACATTTTTGGAATTGGGTCAAGTTCAACAATGCCTGGGTCAAAGAAGGGACAGAGTGTCTTGGATGCAAACAGGAAAGTAAGTCATGGTGACTTGTCTGTTACCTGTAACGATGCGTCTGATAATAATAATAATAATAATAATAATTTATTTTCATATAAACATAAATTTACATGAAAATGCATGCCATTTTTACAGGCACGATCAAGGATGATATAATGTCAAATCTTAAATTGTCTACAAGTTAATAATGTTTCAACAGTTAAATATTTGATATATATATATACACTCATTGTCTGAACCAGGCCGGATAGTTATTGAATTGTACATTTGTCCTCCAGGTTGAGCGGGAAAATCGACTTGGTTTCGTTTTCATCCCGTGGTTGTAGGCATACGATAACCAACCAATATTGAGGTAAGTACAACTTTTACAAGGGATTGGAAGCTGTTTTAGAAAAGTTAAAGTGCTAAGGTGAAACATTAAAGTGTAATAGATTAAGTGAGTGAAATATATCATTAATAAACACATTTATATAGAAAACAGAATGGGGAAGTAATTAATCCTTAGGCCGACAACGTTCATTTGCAATGTATAATGAAACCAATATATTTTATACTATCATGCGTTCACTTTTGGCTTTAATACAATTATTTTCAAGCCAGTTGTCTTTATTTCATGTCTTTTTTCTATTTGGTGCACAACCGTACCCTCCAGAGAATAGGAATAGAATAAGTCGAATCAAATTCATAAAGAGCTATAAAATGTTAGGTTTAATGGAATATAATGAGAATCAAGTAAAGACGTTATTAGAAAATAAGTGAGACAAGATATTGTGAAGTGGTATTTAAAGATCTGACAATGGATAGCAAGTTAATTCATAAGATGCCCCATAAATCTGTGCAGATCCCACGTGGTCGCATCTCAACAATAGGCTGAGCGAATGGTATATATTTAAAGGTAGAAGCATTATCTGTCAAGGCGTTCACTATTATCTTTTTCAAGATAAAGATCTAAGCCCTCATAAAAATCAGAAATATCTCGAGCCTTTAATTTGTATATTGCTGTTCCTGCAGAATGGGGCGATTCACCTTAGTGACCACCACCATATCTACTGATCAGCTAACGCCACCCTCCCTCCTATAATAATCACTTTATTCCACAACAATAACAATTTATAGCATGGAATTTTCAGCGTTTCTTTTACATATTGCAATGGTTTAGCTCTGTTTATAATTATATAAATGTATAAAATGTTAAAATATTGATAGTCAATAAAAAAACCAAAAAAAATAAATAAACCCCAACAAATCACACCATTTCTAGGTCATAGTGAATAATAAATAAATAATATAACAAATAACATATGCATAATATATGCATCATTACATTTTATAGTTTAGTTATTGATTCAAAAGTTGTAAAAGTTCTTTTCTGATATTTGTCTCTTCACACAATACTCGTGCCAAATATGGAACGGTCGAATTTTTATATTTTGTAGTACGAGCATAAATGTTTATAAAATTTCTTCTGGTCTTACCCGAAGAGATACAAGGAAACAATTGTGAATAAAGAGGATGTTCACTATCAGATAAGATAACTTTAGCTAAGTGTTTACAAGAATTCATATGCCTATTGACAACAGTGTCATTTAGTTGAGTCAAAGGGATAGCACTGACCCTACTTACAGCCCTCAATGTTCTTCGTAGTATTATATGGTCTTTCTTGAGTAGCCCAGGGAAGAATAATGGAGAACAATAAAGAATGATGGGCAAAACACATGAATTAATAAATTGTATGATAAGAGATTGGGTTATACCTGAGTGTCTCAACTTCTTTATGTAATAAGTCAGACGGAAAACTTTCTTAGAAACTATAAGAATATGAGACGACCAGCAAAGGTTTGAAGAGAAACTAATGCCAAGATAAGAAACACTTGACTTACTCTCTATCATGGTACCATCAATATTACAACAATCATGAGATTGAATCAATCCATGCATGTCTTTTTCACTTCTCAAGCTGAAATCAACAGTGTTACATTTAGTTGGATTTAGTTTAAGACCATTTGAGCCAGACCAATCCTTAACTTCAGCTAAGAAGCCATTCATATGGGAACAATCCGATGTGGAAACTACAGGGACAGAAACGGTCAGATCATCAGCATACTTAATGAAGTTAACTTTGGGTGAGTTCGGAAGGTCATGCAAAAAGAAAGAGAAAAGAAATGGAGAAAGTACTGCACCTTGAGGCACACCACTTTCAGTTAGCTGAGAAGTGGAGCGCTTTCCAGCCAAAACAGTATGCTGTTTCCTATCCTTAAAATAAGAAGACAGCCATCTAGTTGCCCAGGACTCTGTTTGAGCTGAAATCATCTTTCCTAATAAAAGTGTCCTAGGAACAGAGTCGAAAGCTGCAGTATAGTCTATAAAAGCTGTTCGAACGAACTTAGCACCCTTATCAAGGCAGGAAACAATATTGTGGTGTAGTACAATGGCTGCATCTAATGTACTTCTTCCACACTTATAAGCAAACTGCTTAGGGTCACTAAAAGCTTTTAAAGAAGGTTTAAGAATATTCAAAAGAAGTTTCTCCATAGTTTTCAAAAAAGGAGATGTTATAGCGACCGGTCTAAACTTTATACCTGCTCCAGAAGATGATTTCTGTACAGGTACAACCTTGATTTCTTTCCAGTCAGCAGGTACCGTTTCCCTGTTAAATGATGCGTTAAAGATTTGAGTAAGAGGATGACACAAGATGTCTGCACACTTTTGAAGAAGAATGCTTGGTACACCATCTGGACCAAGGCTGTGTGTTGGATTTAATGACTTCAAACATAATAGTACATCCTTTTCTTTAAAACCCTGAAAATGACCATTTTCTTGACTAGGTACATCAGGTACAACCATATTAATTTGTTTCTTGATAAATGATTTGTTTAAAGCATTAACATCAGAATAAGCATCAACGGACATTTGTTTTTTACTTGTAAGTTTATTGAAAAGTTTCCAAATGTTTGAAGGATTTTTACATGATAAAAATTTTTCATTATATAGTCTGTTCAACCTTTCTATTTCAATTTTTATAAGGGTGTTTATTTTACGGACACCAGTATTATCACAATTCTTATACAACTTCTCTTTTTGTCTTCTAAGTTTTTTCAGTTGCACAGAAGAGATTCTGTCAAATCTCGAAAACAGTGTTTCATATGGACAGCAAATCTCCAAACAAAACTTCAGATAATCGGTTATATTAGAGACAGTAGCATCCAACTTATCGTCAGTAAATAGTTCCCAGTTGGTATCATGCAACATGCTTCTTAATGCTAGAATGTTGTCATGGGAATATGAACGTTCATGTATCTTCTTTGTTAAATGACTAAACAATTTTCGTTGTAACTTGCCGTACACTTTCGGTAAAATACGAATAATGCAGTGGTCAGAATTTAGCAAAGGAGCTCTCCTTCGGGTTTCATATACATCACGGTCATTTATGAAAACCAGGTCTAGTGATTTGTCCAGACGTGTATTAAACTTGACTAGATTCTCATGACCAAGTGAAGTAAGAAAGCTGTGATCACATAAATTAAAATCACCACAGACTATAGACAACGAGTTTCCGAATGCAGGAGCAGCGAATTCAGTAAACTCATCTGCAAACATAACTATATTAGAAAGGCTACAATTGGGTGTTATGTAAATATTTGTTATGTATATATAAGAATATTTACTTAAGTGTTTTGGGCGACACCTGACGGTTATGCAATCTCTATTGTCATTAGAATAATTGAAGCAAACGTGATTTGATGTAGACCAACTTGTGTTTATAAATGTGGCTACCCCTCCTCCATATTTTTTCTTGGAACTATTTCTATCTTGGCGAAAAACTTTATATCCATTTATTGAAACTAGATTATCATCATAATGCTGGTGCAGCCAAGTCTCTTGTATTGCTAAAACTCCAGCATTTCGATAAACATTGGAATACATTAGGGATTGGAGATAATCCATTTTGTTGGACAGGGATCTACAATTAGTGCTAACGAGTTCAGGAACAGTCATTTGATTAATTTGTGTGGCGAAGTTTAAGAATAGCGTCCCAAAACCTTCAACGCTCAAATGACCTTGAACGCATGCTAGTCGTTGGCTAACGGTTCCTGTCATTATCATAGCTGAAATATCAACCCTATTCATCAAATAAGGAGCAAGTTTCACCCAGATAACACTTTTATTACTGTTTGGACAATGTGTTAACATCTCGTTAGGGTTAGGATAGGGGTTAAGGCGAGTATTGTGGTTAGGGTTAGGGGGGTTAGGGTTAGGGTTTAGGGTTAAGGTTGGGGTAGCGATTAGGAATAGATTTTTCGTTTATTTCAAGTTCTTTTATTATCCTTATTTCCCTTGTATGTAGTCGCCAATGCTCTTACTGGAACCATAGTAACTAAACCGAGGGCTTAGGAGAGGACTACACAGCAAGAGAAGAGAGATGAACCATTCCCAAAACAGCACACCTTCAGTCATTTTGGTGAATACATCTACAGAAACTAGTCCAAATTAGCAACTGATACTGTTCATCGCAACTGGAACGTATTTTTAAGTCACATCATAGAAATATAATCCGTTTAATGTGTTTTCATGCATTTTCTTGTGAATATACGTCATTTTTCGTGCAAAAATTCTTTATTTCTATGATTGGCTGCCTGAAGGTCACTCGTGCGTTCGCATCCCTTGGGACGCTATTGTTGAACTTTGCCATTTGCGTACGTTTCAGTGCACGCTGCCAGCCACAGTGATGCTCTATTCTCAATTTTTGTGGATGACCCATCGCGGTGATAGAGGATAGCGGCACAAATGGCTTATGGAGAGGCTGAGCACTTGAGGTCATTTACGCACACTGTGATTGGTAGATTTTCCTTTGCGTAAACGTTGCGGCTAATACGTGCCTTACGTTACTGAGGCGGGCTTTGAAATAGCAATAATAAAATCGGATAAACATTATATTTTTTAGCTTAAGGGAACAAGTTAACATGCTTATAAATTTCACAGATGTGAGAAGCATAAGATCCAGTAACAAGGAGAATACTACTGGGTAACTTAATCAAAGAAATATAAAGTTTGGGGATTTTATGTCTTTCAGTTAATTGTAACGGATCAGATTCAGATTCAGATTTATTGGTTGAGGATAGAAGGCTTGCAGCCTATGTTAATCCTTTTCTAGTAGATTTCTGCGGTTGTCCAAACCCTTCTTGAACGAATCAATTGAGGTTGCAGACACCACTTCTTCTGGGAGTCGGTTCCAAGAGTTTATGACTCGATGTGAGAACCAGTACTCAACAGAAATATGATTTCTCCTTGGCTTTTGAACTCTCCTGCTATGTCCTCTAGGGTGTTCCGACCTGGTGGGAAGGAAAAGAGAGAATAGGTCAGGTCCGTAGTCATTATTTAAAATTTTAAACATTGTGATTAAATCTCCTCTCTGCCTACGGTATGACAGTGAGAAGAGATTTAAACTATCTAGTCTTTCCTCATATGATAAGTTAGCTATGCCGTGAACCATACATGTTGCCTTCCTTTGAACACTTTCTAGAATGTGTGAATCCCCTTTTAGACACGGACTGGCGGCCTGGATGCAGTTTTCCAGTCTTGACCTAACCAGAGATGTGTATAAGGAGGTGAACATATCTCTGGTAATTCTTGTAAAGGCTCTGCGAATCGCCCATAAGGACCTGAAACTACGTGCAGCCACCGCGCGACAGTGTGCTGTAGTTTTTAAGTCGTGGCTAACTATGACACCTAAGTCCAACTGAGTCTGAACTGATGGAAGTGTTATTCCCTCTAGTTCGTAGGAGCTCGTGCTTGCTTGTCCAATGCGCATGGTTGCACATTTTGCCACGTTGATCGGGAGCATCCATTCAACAGACCACTCCGACAGTTTGTTGAGGTCGTCTTGCAAGGTGGACGTATCACTGTTGCCCTTCAGCTCCCTCCAAATTTTGAAGTCATCTGCGTATAGGACCATAGTGGAGTCGGTGAGCAGAGGTAACTCATTGATATACAGAATAAAAAGGAGAGGACCGAGAACCATGCCTTGTGGCACTCCGCTACTTACTGCTGCCCAGGAGGAGAGTTTTGAGTTGATCCTAACCCTCTGCCTCCTATCTATGAGGAATTCCCTGAGCCAGTCTAGTAGTCTGCCTTTGATACCAAGACTTTCCAATTTCATGAGTAGTCTTTTGTGAGGTACTTTATCAAAGGCTTTACTGAAGTCTATGAAGACGACGTCAACGGGTCTTCTGTTATCCTTTGATTTGAGAGTCACTTGTATAGTATTTGCTTTTCATAGAAGAAAAAGTGTGACAGGTGATTTGGAAGTTACATGATTCCTGAAATCTATCGTGGAATATATGGACGACTAATCTGTAGAATTTCACCAACTCTGTGGTTGTTCTTTGCCTTGTTCACATATTTACTGTGGCTAAGATTAGGAATTGTTCACCAAAGGTAAGATTAATTTACTCGATATGTATACATCCTCAGATATTTCTCAATACGGCCGAAGGCAGTCGAAGGAATATAATCTCAATCTCTGCTTGAAAAGTTCACATCCAGTTTCTGCGAACGGAACTGGTGGTGACGAAAACTGCAAAGACTGGTCCAACACCACTAACAACGGAGGCAAACTGACACAGATGTTGCGGTTAGAGTGTTTGGTGGACTTTATGATGACTACGGTGCAGCTATAAAAACTCTACAACTGTGATTTTTTCACTGGATTGTTATTAACTCTTTTTTGTGTATATATGTACTCTATTATGAATCATTTTTAATTTGATTGTTTATTGTTTCCTTACAAATATATGCATTTATGTCGACTAACTTTGTCTCTTTTACTTATTTTGAGGACATTGCAGAGTTAACGAGAATGATAGGCAACGTTTTAATACTTATGTGAAATGCGTTAGTCATAAACTTTTATTACTTCCTCTGTGCGTCATCAAGCCTTGCGTAAAGTGTTTCAGTTGCGAATAAGATTAATATTCAAGATTGTTAAGAAGGTAGCCGTTAAATATGTGTTCGTTCTGTAATAACGAAACAAAGTCTAGCAAACGTAGGTTCTATATGCAGACGACATGTATTAGTAGTCCAGGCACTTCAAGTACACAATGCGACGTGTATCCCACTTATCACAAATACTCCGTTATTATTATGCTGCGTCTAACACCACTATCTCGAAGGGTATCATTAGGTAATAAGAAGAAAACTACATTACTCTTCTTGTGTTATCATTTCGTATCAAAAGGCTCTTACATGATCACACCAACACTTAGACTCGTACATTAATGCAACTAATTAGTTGACTACGTCACTAAACTTCGTCGATTATTTTGCTATCATGAAATACCGCGACGCATTAAATAGGCCTTTGTTGTGCATATCGCCTGTTTAAGATTTACTAGCGAAAGCAATTACTCAAAAGCGATAACAGTACCCCATCGTGACGAAATTCAGCAACGTGTGAGTATGCCATTTTACGAATATTACGTCTTCTACATTGGCATCACTTTGCAACTCGACAAACACTAAGTATTAATGCAGCAAAATTTGTAAAACAATATTTATTTCGGTAAATACATTATTAATATCACAAAAATTCCATCATTTACACAAATATTATCGTTTTTAATCCCAAATAGAATGTCTAAATGTATTGAGTGATTGCGGGATTGAAGACCATAATCTGGAAATTAAAAATAAACATTCAGTCAAGATGTGATGAGTTAAATAAATAAACATATAATACAGTACGTACTAGTTAAATGACTATCTCTTCACCGTTATCTGACGAAATAACCAACTCAATTTCCTTTATTTCTGAGCAATTTGGTAAAAATCATGAAATTATAATTACCTCGATATTTAACCCTTTTCTCATCATATACGCAAAATAAACTTCAAAATTTGTAATTATTTAGCGTTTTCTATCAAAATTGACATTTTTCAATGAATTGTTTCATTTCTTATGCATCTCGGGATGTCAACTCGATCCAAAAACAGCATTTCGTCAACACAATGAAAACGATTACATTTCTCACGTTTCACACGTTATTTCGTTAAAATATGATTTTTAAAATGCATTTCTGTCGAAAAAACCACTAAAAACAACGTAGAATAGCCTAAACACGACACCACGATAACACCTTAAAACTGCAGCGATCAGCTGATTTGTGCCTCTATCCTCTACCCATCGCGGTAGGTTGTAATGATTTTAAAAATGCGCGATTATATATAATGCGATTAGGACACATTATTGATAAATTAAAACAAAATTAAAAGAGCAAACCAAAGCAATTTTGCAAAATGTTGAAAGGTGGAATTTTTGATAGCACTATGTTCAAGCAGGCCGCCGTCTGATGTTAAGCATGACATGGTTGATGTTACTGTTTCGCCGTTCAGGGATAATAGGAACATCAAACTCCCTAAATTTGAACCACGGTGTTTTGATGGAAACCCGGCCGATTATTTACAATTTGTAAAGGAGTTTGAGATCATGCTGAGTGGTTTTTTATTAACTGAGGAAATGAAGTTAATGTATTTGATGAGGTATTGCACTGGAATTGCTGCAAGAGCTATACAGTGTTGTAAGTTTATGAAGCCAAAAGAGGGCTACTACGAGGCTATGAGCATATTACATCAAAGGCTTGGAAGACCTTCAATGATTGTAAGGAACGTATACGAAGCTGTCAAAGGTAACTGCAGTCAACTTCAAGATGACTCCAAGGCACTTACTGAGTTTTTAGATAATCTTATGACTTATAAGAATACCTTGATTTCGATGATTCGCATGAGTGACCTCAACTCGAGTTTTATCCTAGAAGTAATAGCAAGACGTCTACCTACTCGACTGCAAAGGAAGTGGGTGAAGATAAGCTCCCGTATGGAGGATGAGGGTATCGAGCCAAAATTTGATGATATCCTGAAACTAGTAAAAGATAGTGTCAATCAATCTATGAACAAGTTTGCCAGTCTATTACATCTCACCCCTAGAATAGAGCAGTCTGAGAGCAAAATGCAATCATTGATGACGAGTAGGCCTCAGGGAGGTGGATATCGAGAAGGCTCCATGATGTATAGTAATGCATATAGACCTAGTGAGTGTTACGGGTTTCGTAGTACATCCTCAACAGATAAGTTACAAGATGCAAGAGAAACACGGTTGTGTTTTACACGTTTGCAAGAGGTGCATACAAAGGTGAACTGTGAACCAGTGAGCAAGTTCAGTGATAAGCTAAATGTAAACTCCAGGCACGACTCCGAATTGTGTGACGATAACGGTGCGGTCAAGAAGTCTGTAGTTGCAACTGGTAAGCCATTGTTGAATAGAGTGTCACAGAATAGAGTTACTGCTTCAGAGTGCAGTTCTGACCCTACAAGTTTACAAGGTATTACTAGTCAGAGTGAAGTTATAAAACCTTTTAGGATTTGCGAGGAGGAACCAAAATTGTCTACTTCTGTTATTAAAGAGTTTGAAAAGGATGAAGTTGACGGTAAAGTGAATATTTGTGATAATGATCATGATACTTCACAGTTGTCTTTGGTTGATCATGATGAGATGAGGGATATGCCTACTACTGCTAATTTGAACAAAGGTTCTGTACAACTTGAACGTGAATTAGAAATAAATGCAGATGCAGTTGCAGAAAACATGCATACTTGTGAGACCGTCAGTGTGATTGATCAGCATGTAGCCCACCTATCATCAGATGCTAGTGCTAGACCTGAGCTGATAGTAAAAGACAGCAGTGGTGGTGGTCTTGCAGGTAGACAAATTTCTGAAAGTCGAGCAACAACAGCTTTTGATCCACCGCTAACTTCATCAACTGATATCAATCAGTCGTCGTTGGTGCTGTCATCCACAATGAAACAGACACCTATCAACTCAAGTATCTTGTGCAATCACTATGCTAGTATCAGTTCGTTTGAAAAGACGAAAGATATTGCTCAGTTTAGTGAGGATAAGCCAAGTGTAAACGAGAGAGTAATTGTTAAATTGATTTGCACGAACAAAGGCATTTCTAGTTTCAAGTTACTAATTGAATGCTATTATCTTTGGTGTAAATTACTCTGTTTCTACACTTGGTTGACCAGATACTTCGTGTGTTTATTCGCCATCTATATTCTACGATACAATGACATGAGCGTGTTGCCGTTCAGATTTGAGGATTTAGCTGATAGAAGGAAGTCAGCAAATGAACTCTGCAACGATTTTCCAACCTAGAGCGTCAACCTGAGAAGGGTTGTAGGCGTACTGCTGTAAGTCCTACAATTCTTCAAAGGGTAGCGCATCAATGAGCAGTCCAATGTGCTTGGTGTGTGATTTTGTATATATGTTCATATTTTATATACTGAATTGATATCTTCTGTCATCTAGCTGTTGGTAATTCTGTTTGTGTCCGTACGACTTCCACTTTGATCATCAACCTGAGAAGGAATGTAGGCGTACTGCTGTAAGTCCTGCAGTTCTTCAAGGGTAGTTTGTCAAGCCGGAATCCACAACACTTGAGGTATTAATTGTACATGTGTTTGTGTTAAATAATTGTGTGAGTTCAAATTATTGTAATTGTTGGTTAATCTTGTTTGTGTCCGTACATTCCACAAATTACAATCGTCAACCTTAGAAGGGTTGCAGGCGTACTGGTGTAAGTCCTGCGATTCTTCAAAGGAATTCCATCGAGACAGGATCTGCGAGTTTGTTTGTACTGTTTGTATATACGTGTGGTGTGTGACATCAATTTGTGATTTTGGATTAATTGTGTTTACTAGTTGTTTTCGTACCTTGTTGTTATTACATAATTTTGTTAAAATTTTCGTCGTGATTACTTCTGAAGTTGTGTCCACTCTTCTACATCCATGAATGAATTGATTGATGTTAGAGACAGAAGATGGGTCGTATACGCCGGGGAGGCTAGGCTATTGCTGAGAATGAAATGCATACGGAGATAATGATTAGCTGTGATCCCACACGCCGGGGAGAAAGAGTGTAAACGACTGAGACTCGCATACGTCATCGTTACTAGAATTGAGGCAGAATGAGTGACAAGCGATTTCAGTGGTAATTGGTAGTGAGTAGATAAGAGGATGTGCGTGGAGTATCATGAGGTGGTGCTATGGTCACGTTGTATTCTGCAAGAGTCATTCTTGCAAGTGGCGATTGTGTTGCAAGAGGATGTGTCAAGAGTGTGCATTTAACTGGAAGGCGCAGGTCGTCATTGATGTGCGAGATTGTGCTGTGAGTATGCTTGTGGTGTGTTGGCTTTGCTGTTTGTTTTCCATTTCAGCTCTGTCCGTGTGACCAAGATTCTCGCAACGGCATCCAAGTCAACGTGCATTGGTCGTGATGGAAAAAATGGTTGGATGCCTTTTTTGCCTGGGAGTGTCAATGTAGTTGAAGATTGAACGATCAATTCATGGTTGTTTGCTCAAAACCAACTTCCCCAATTTTCGCGGAGGCATCAATACGACAGTCATCGTCTCATCGGTCGCTGTTCAGAAAGAAGTCAGCAGTAAACCGTCAGAAGTAATATTGTGATTTGTTATTGTAATATTTGTTCACAGACCTTAGTCATACGTGATTTATATGTTGGTGTTACAATAAAGAATTCTCGAGTGGCTAATCGGTGTTTTGGTTTTTCCGTCCGTTATTACTAAGCGTTTCTGAGAAACTTCAAGGGACAGCGTGAGCCCGAGCGTAGCAAGAGCTGGGCATTATCGCTTTACGACACATGGCTGACCTGCATAAAACACTAATGTCCTTTTCATGTCCACATACTTTCTCTTTCTGGTATTCTGCTGCTGCGCATATTCTTCTATTTATC